CACAAAAATGGCCGTAGAGCGACAAACCAAACCTCTTGCCTTTATCTTTCGTCCTTATTTCTTGAACTTATTTAAGGAGGTTCCTTCAAGTTCCTCCGTAGATCAACATTTAAAGTGTGCACAAAATGGCCGTAGAGCGACAAACCAAACCTCTTGCCTTTATCTTTCGTCCTTATTTCTTGAACTTATTTAAGGAGGTTCCTTCAAGTTCCTCCGTAGATCAACATTTAAATGTGTGCACAAAATGGCCGTAGAGCGACAAACCAAACCTCTTGGCTTTATCTTTCGTCCTTATTTCTTGAACTTATTTAAGGAGGTTCCTTCAAGTTCCTCCGTAGATCAACATTTAAAGTGTGCACAAAATGGCCGTAGAGCGACAAACCAAACCTCTTGCCTTTATCTTTCGTCCTTATTTCTTGAACTTATTTAAGGAGGTTCCTTCAAGTTCCTCCTAGATCAACATTTAAAGTGTGCACAAAATGGCCGTAGAGCGACAAACCAAACCTCTTGGCTTTATCTTTCGTCCTTATTTCTTGAACTTATTTAAGGAGGTTCCTTCCTTCCTCCGTAGATCAACATTTAAAGTATGCACAAAATGGCCGTAGAGCGACAAACCACACCTCTTGCCTTTATCTTTCGATCAACATTTAAAAGGTTCCTTCAAGTTCCTCCTCCTTAGATCAACATTTAAAGTGTGCAAAAATGGCCGTAGAGCGACAAACCAAACCTCTTGCCTTTATCTTTCGTCCTTATTTCTTGAACTTATTTAAGGAGGTTCCTTCAAGTTCCTCCGTAGATCAACATTTAAAGTGTGCACAAAATGGCCGTAGAGCGACAAACCAAACCTCTTGCCTTTATCTTTCGTCCTTATTTCTTGAACTTATTTAAGGAGGTGCCTTCAAGTTCCTCCTTAGATCAACATTTAAAGTGTGCACAAAATGGCCGTAGAGCGACAAACCAAACCTCTTGGCTTTATCTTTCGTCCTTATTTCTTGAACTTATTTAAGGAGGTTCCTTCAAGTTCCTCCGTAGATCAACATTTAAAGTGTGCACAAAATGGCCGTAGAGCGACAAACCAAACCTCTTGGCTTTATCTTTCGTCCGTATTTCTTGAACTTATTTAAGGAGGTTCCTTCAAGTTCCTCCGTAGATCAACATTTAAAGTGTGCACAAAATGGCCGTAGAGCGACAAACCACACCTCTTGCCTTTATCTTTCGTCCGTATTTCTTGAACTTATTTAAGGAGGTTCCTTCAAGTTCCTCCGTAGATCAACATTTAAAAGTGTGCACAAAATGGCCGTAGAGCGACAAACCACACCTCTTGCCTTTATCTTTCGTCCTTATTTCTTGAACTTATTTAAGGAGGTTCCTTCAAGTTCCTCCGTAGATCAACATTTAAAAGTGTGCACAAAATGGCCGTAGAGCGACAAACCACACCTCTTGCCTTTATCTTTCGTCCTTATTTCTTGAACTTATTTAAGGAGGTTCCTTCAAGTTCCTCCGTAGATCAACATTTAAAGTGTGCACAAAATGGCCGTAGAGCGACAAACCACACCTCTTGCCTTTATCTTTCGTCCTTATTTCTTGAACTTATTTAAGGAGATTCCTTCAAGTTCATCCTTAGATCAACATTTAAAGTGTGCACAAAATGGCCGTAGAGCGACAAACCAAACCTCTTGGCTTTATCTTTCGTCCTTATTTCTTGAACTTATTTAAGGAGGTTCCTTCAAGTTCCTCCGTAGATCAACATTTAAAGTGTGCACAAAATGGCCGTAGAGCGATAAACCACACCTCTTGCCTTTATCTTTCGTCCTTATTTCTTGAACTTATTTAAGGAGATTCCTTCAAGTTCATCCTTAGATCAACATTTAAAGTGTGCACAAAATGGCCGTAGAGCGACAAACCAAACCTCTTGCTTTATCTTTCGTCCTTATTTCTTGAACTTATTTAAGGAGGTTCCTTCAAGTTCCTCCGTAGATCAACATTTAAAGTGTGCACAAAATGGCCGTAGAGCGACAAACCACACCTCTTGCCTTTATCTTTCGTCCTTATTTCTTGAACTTTTTAAGGAGGTTCCTTCAAGTTCCTCCGTAGATCAACATTTAAAGTGTGCACAAAATGGCCGTAGAACGACAAACCACACCTCTTGCCTTTATCTTTCGTCCGTATTTCTTGAACTTATTTAAGGTGGTTCCTTCAAGTTCCTCCGTAGATCAACATTTAAAGTGTGCACAAAATGGCCGTAGAGCGACAAACCAAACCTCTTGGCTTTATCTTTCGTCCTTATTTCTTGAACTTATTTAAGGAGGTTCCTTCTTAGATCAACTTTTAAGTTTGTACTCATAATTTTAGATCATATAGGAATACAGTATCTATCCATATTATTAGAATCACCAGAACATTTGAATCAGTAATGATCGATTAAAATATTTTTGCATTAGAATTCTTAATATAATTGATGTTTGAACTTATTTTGAAAGCAGAATTACAGTCAAATCTATTTTTGTGCTGGGGATAGAGACCACATATAAGAAACTACATTAAAAAATACCTTGAAACTTTATAAGCAGCTATAAAGTATATTGTTTGCAACACATTTTTAAAAAAGATTTATGCAGTAAATAAGGATCGCTTAAAAATTCTCACATAGAAAATATGTAAATCAAAAAGCTCGCGATGTAGCACTATCTCGCATCTAATAAGATTCGTGGTAACGGGATGAAAAAATGTCAGGTTGATTTTTATTTGTTGGATTTTTTTAATTTGCATGTTATTTTGACAGCTGTCTGTTGTTTTCTTTTTTAATTACATTTTCTAATTAATTTTGTGTTTCTAATATGCATTTAATAAAAAAAAAAAATTATACACCACACACACACACACAAAAATGCATAAAAAACCTCGAAAAAAAACAGATTTGACTGTACTTTAATTTCTTTTTCTTGGCTGGCGATACTGAAATAATTTTTTTGCGTGTGACAGCACCGAAAGTAATTTATATTTTTTTAATACCGAAATTTTTTTTACTAACAGCATCAAAATTAATTAGTTTAGTTTGACAAATTTAATTTATAAACGAAAAGAAATTAGTTTATTTTATTACATAAAATAATGATTTATTACTGATTTCTCATGATTCACCATTATTGTAAATGCAAAACTACTAAATTGGGTATGATCAGCACATCTTTTAAAAGTACCACTTACCTTTTAAAATGCCACCAACATTTATATTACAAATAATATGGGAAAATGCTCATGTTATCTTTAGAACTGTATTGGATTGCTGAAACTGTCTATAAGTTTGTAGTATAGTACAACTAGAGGCTGTAAAACCTACAACAATTCTTATTATGAGACATTTTTATAGAAATAAAAATTTTCTTTTAGCTTAGCAGCTTTGGATTTATTTCAGTAGATTTTAATGTATAACAGGTGGGGTGAAACGTTCGTAGGCTGACACACAGATGGCACTACTAGTATTAAATCCATATGATTTTTAGTTAGCCCTAACCTTCAAAAAGGTGTATAAATTTGACAGCTGTTGCACTATTAGTATGTGAGTTATAGCATTTTTAGTGAAGCAACTTTTGTTAGTTTGAAAAAATGGATAAGAAGGAATTTCGTGTGTTGCATTGCTTTTGGAGAAAAAAATATTGAAGCCAATGCTTGACTTGATAAACATTATTCGGACTTTGCACCAGGAAAATCAACCGTAGAGAAGTGGTTTGCTAAATTTAAAAGAGGGGAAATGGGCACCGAGGACGATGCACGCAGTGGACGCCCCAAAGAGGCTGTTACCGACGAAAACATCAAAAAAGTCCACAAAATAATTTCTGATAACCTTAAAGTGAAGTTGATTGAGATAGCTGAGACCCTAAGGATATCAAAGGAGCATGTTGGACATATCGTGAATGAATATTTGGATATGCGAAAGCTCTGTTCAAAGTGTGTGCCGCGCGAGCTCACAATCGACCCAAAACAACAACGAATGGATGATTCTAAGCAGTGTTTGGAGCTGTTCAATCGTAATAAACCCGAATTTTTGCGTCGATATGTGATAATGGATGAAACATGGCTCCATCATTTTACACCGGAGTCAATCGACAGTCAGCCGAGTGGACTGCACGTGATGAACACTAAAAATGCTATAACTTCACTAAAAAGGCTAAAACTCACTTACTAATAGTGCAACAGCCGTCAAATTTATACACGTGTCTTTTGAAGGTTGGGGCTAACTAAAAATTATATGGATTTAATACTAGTAGAGCCATCTATGTGTCAGCCTAGGAACTTTTCAGCCCACCCGTTAAGTCATTTTATTTAATTAAGCAATATCTCATGTGTTAGAAATTATTATTTATGAATTATGCATACACTTATTTGTGAAATTCACTGTGAATGTGTAATAAAAGTATCTCCCACTAGATTTCTGTCAACTTGCAATACAACATCTTCGGCTTTGACGATGTAATCTGGCCTCAAATGTACCAAAACTTCCAACTTGGCAGATGCTTCCCCAACATGAACGACAAATCCTACTTCATTTTGATCATGAATGGTAAGTAAAGAACAAAAACTGGATAAAACTTTTATGAACATACCATGCGAGGTATGTACTATATGTAGAAAGGTATGGGGCCTCGCTATAGTTCTATATATATATAAATTGCGAGGGCGAGTAATAGCTAAACATAGTTATGTTGTTGTTGTTTGTTGTTTCTTGTCCCACTTGGCAGGCCAAGCCCACGAGCCCATATGTACTCATGATTGAAGGGGAAGGAAGCAGCTTCTGTTGTAATGGAGCCCCAGTAGGTAGAAGTCTGACTTTGACTCCGTGACGCTCTTATAGTCATGGGAGACCGGGACCTACGGCTTAAAAGTGGTTCCGAACCACTACAAACATCCATGGCACCGCCGGGATTCAAACCCGAAACCTGTGGCACCGAGCGCCGGAGCGCTGCACACTCGGCCATTCAGGTCCCAAATTTGTGAATGCCAACGGCACTCGGTGTTCCCAGGTGGTCACTCACCCCCAAGTACTGACCGCGCCCAATGATGCTTGGCTTCGGTGATCTAACGAGAACCGGTATATTCAGCATGATATGGCCGATGGCAAACATAGTTATAATTGGTATAATTCTGCTAGAAAAAATAGTCCATTTCTACATAATCACATTGCCATTATCCTTGGTCTATAGCAGGGATGGGCAAACTACGGCCCGTGGGCTAACTCCGGTCTGTCGGAAGATTCTATTCGGCCTGCAGATATAGAATTATAATTTTGCCGGTAAGAGGCAAATTAAAAGAAATATAAATTTATATATTATAAATCCATCTCTTTTTCTACTTTGATTGAATATTTTTTCCTTCCTTTTTTCAAAGAACTGATGATCTTAATTTCTCTATTTTTTGTTCCACAAACATAACTCGACGGAAATAGCAAACCAAAGTAGCTAAATATGCCAAAGATAAATTTTCCTAAACCAAGCTAAATATGCCAAACATAGAGTTTTACAAATCATTATCGAAATTAAGTTTCCCAAATTTAATATCTCACGGCCCGAAAATCAGGGCTACATTCGCTTCATCTTATATATATGTGAACAAATGTTTTCAACTAAAACCTTGGAAAGAATTATTTCTGAAGTAGACTGACAGATGAGCATTTAACGTAATTCCTTAGAATCAGTACATCTCACTTCGAATCTCAATATAATAAACTTTTAAAAATGAAATCTATGAATTTCATTCATCTCATTAACATATTTAAATTGTAATACTTGTATATTGTTCCTAAAATTTTGAAAAATATATCCTGGCCGCCAAACTTTTTTTCGATTTTTGGCCCGCGACCGAAAAAAGTTTGTCCATCCACTGGTCTAAATTATCTTTTACGACATCAGATCACTGATAGCCTGGCAAATTTCGATAGTTGTTTTCCTTTTGCAACCTTCTTATGGTACCTTCAACAAGATAATATCAAAATCCAATGCTGTAAATTCAATATTCAAATTCTATAAATTTATTATTATTTATAGGATTATTCTTTTTTTTTTCCACGCAAATTTTACTTAAAATATTTTCATTGCCTGAAGAATTTTTTATTATAATGCTGTATATATATATATATATATATATATATACAGTCCAGTCACATTAATGTGACCACCTGTAAAAGCCAAAATAACCACCTTTGGCAGAGCGGACCGCTGCAAGACGTGCAGAAAGAGAGTCAATTAGGTTTCTGAAGGTGTTCACTGGGATGTTGAGCCATGCCGACTCCAGTGAACCATATTCATATAATTATCAGTGAAAGTAGGTGGTGGTCACATTAATGTGACTGGACTGTATATATATATATATATTATAATGCCGTAATATTTTTTCGTATTAATATAAACTAAAAAAAACCCTCGTTCACAGTGCAACCTGAGTTAGCAGCTACCATGGAGAAAAATGACGATGCCGTAATGGAAAGGTTGAGATCAAAAATTACACAGATTGCTAAAGTTTCCGATATGAGACTTCCATTGCTTACTGTAAGTATTTCAGTTTTCATTTAATAGTAATTTTAAATCCTACACTATAGAATTTCAAAGCTTGCACGTTTTGATTTCATTCTCCTCTTTCGATTGTACTTTAAATTAAAGAAATTATCATCATCATCATCATCATAACTGGCTCGACAGCCCGTTGTGGGCCTTGGCCTCGGATAAAAAGGGTCCATCCAGGCTGTTCTCCTCTTGGCCGTGGACTTCCAGTTTTTGATCTTAATTACATTAAAATCAGAGTCTAAACAGTCAACCCATCTCTCTTTTCGGTCTTCCCTTGGTCGCTGTCCAAAAGGGATTACACTGCCATTCATAAATATGAATGTATAAACTTTAACTCAATTCCAGTTAGTTAAGTATTCCCTGAAAATAAAATAATACATGTACACTATAAAGCTAGCATTTAATTTTATGATACAAATTTTAATAGGAAAGTGTAAATAATAAAATAATAACCAGGAGGGGGAAATTTTTTTACGAATGGCATCTTCAAACAATGTATTCGAATCTTTTATTTTATTTTTTGAAAATTACTTCGTTTTTTGAGTACTATTATTAAATAATTCACGTAAAATATACTCAACAGTGTAGGAAGAAAAAAAAAACAATTTAAATTAAATTTTTTTGAAATTTGACTGAATAAATATCAATAAATAGGAAAATGAAAGATGATTGAATCTACCTTTCATTCCACTTTACATAATGAAACAGAAGACAATAAAACAAGTGGATGATTTAAATTTTCTTAGTTTATAAATATTTTTTTTTAGGCTGACTACAAGGCTTCCGGAGTTTTTGTCACTGGTTTAATGTTGGACAGACCACCAGCAATCGGTAAGTTTTCTGATTTTTATATATTTTTAATAAAACGTATATCCTTTTTCATGAGTTTTAAGATTAAATAATAATAAAGCATGCCCAAAAAATGTTTTTAAAGGCGTATTAATTAGGCATATGTATTATAAAGGCGTATTTATTTAATTAGGAGAAATAAATACATCACTAGTTAAATTAACATCTACAACCTTTTGAACATGTATTATCTAATCATTTGCTCAATATATTGAAAATTTCCCTTATATATTGATGATAATTTTTGCACTCGTTATGCATATATATATATATATATATCTTTCAAAACTCTTCTTACATGAAAACATGATTAATGTTTCTTATCCCACTTGGTAGACAGCAACATCTAGACCAAGTCCAAGAACCTGTGTGGTCTAATGGAAGGAGGGAAGAGGGGGGGGCAGCTTCTGTTGTGATGCAGCACCCATTGCCTCCGATGTCGTTGAAGAAGGAAGGCAGTGCCTTCCGGAAGGACTTTTTAGGGAAAATTACCCAGCGTTTCTTTATCATATGGGAGAAAACCTGGAAAAATGCCCTCAGGTAGTCCAACTCACGAGGCAAGAGACTGAACATCACAAACACCATCATGTCGTCTCGTTTTTGCAACAATGTCTACAACAAAGCTGACAGCGGATGGAACCTCCGTCCTAAAGTCCCGTTCCCACCGAAGCGAGAGACGGCTACGCGACATGCGGCAGGGAAGAAAACTTTGTCGACCCCTTCATATCGAAACGTCAGAAATAGCATTACGCCTAGTGAAGTTCCGCTTCGAGTTGAAAGTGGGTCAACTCGAAGCGGTGGATTTCAAACTGGTTTCAGACGAATGGGGTGAGGCTAATGATTGGTCAAAGCTTCACGCCTAGGTGGGAACGAGCCTTAATGCTCACCAGCGGGGCGCGTTGCCACTGAGCCACGAGTCGGGCACGAAAACATTAAAAAATGTAAAGTTATTGATTTTTTTTTTTAAATACCAGTTTATATTTCTTATCCTGAAACACTAAAAAAAATTACTGATTAAAAGCTAACTTATTTAAAAAAAATTACTCAGTAGATAAAAAAAATTCGTCTTCAAAAATAAATGTTCAAATCAAATTATTATGCCTCAATCTTTTTGTTTATTTGCCATGATAAGATATCTTAAATAGTACCATTTTATTAAATTTTTTTCTGAAAAAAATTAGTAATAGGGTTTAAAATAGCTTTTTTTCTCTCTTTAATTGCTGTCCAAGGAAGCGAACGATTGCATCATCTCCGATTTAAACTTTTTGCGTTATCTCTGATTTGAAACGAATCATTAAACTCCAGACGAAATCCCTATATTTTTTTCTTTCTCTCTTTCTTTCAAAGCATTTAAATATACGGTGATTCAAAAAGTTTTGACATCCTTTTGAGATATATGCTTTTCTTAAAAGTACGGAATATAGATGCATACAGCTAATATTTGAAACAGAAGATTTTTGAAATAATTTTTTACCTTATATATCCTTACTTTTACCTAACCTATGCGTTAACGTGGAAGATGTCAAGTCTATATTTCACTTCTGGTTGCCAGTAAGGATGGCGCTTTAGGTCAATTCTTTTAAATCTCTTAGTTTGTTATCTGCAAAAGTATGGAGGATGAATACGTAATTAGTTCTTAATCTTTTTTTTTTCTACGTCGTCCTTCGTCGTTTTATCTTTTCTTTTTTTTTCTCCAGTCGTGCTGCATGGTGTCCGAGCCGGGTTCTTGGGTATTTGGAGGTTGCTCTCGCGGCACCACGCATCAGATTTGGAAGCCTTCGGGCATGTCATTTAATTTTATCGAATATCCCGACGTTCGGTTATATTCGGATTACTTCGATAATATGAAATACGTGTTAATGTTATTAGAAAAGATTCTTATTCTAGGATTGCGTACACGATCATTTGATTCTTACCTTTTGAGTTCCAGTAGGTTCAATACTTTAGTAAAGTGTTTATAGACTATTGAAATATTTTAAAATTAAAAATGGCAGAAATGAATGGAGAGAATGAATTTAATAAATGAAACTTAAAAATGAGAGGTGAAAGGACCTTATAAGTAGAATAGCCTAGGGCCTCTTTTTCATCTAAATCCGGCCTTGACTACAAACATCCATGTCACCGCCGGGACTCGAACCCGATAACTGTGGTATCGAGGGCCAAAGTGGTAGCCACTCGACCATCAGGCCCCATAATCTGGAATATGATCTTAAAAATTTAACTACACTTCTCTATGGTAAGAGAACAAAACTAAACAGGAGTAATTTAATGTGCACTGTTTGAAAGCAAATAGGTGAGACCCAGGTCTAAATTTATTAAACAATGTGACAATAGATTTGATCTGATTAAAGAAGAAACACACTTTCCATTTCAGCTCAATTCATAATGGAAAATGAAGGAGACGTCAATACTCCAGACCCAGATGTAAGAATCATACCAGACGCTCACACAACAGAAAAGTGCGCTACAGCATGCGTGGATGAAGAACATTTCACTTGCACGTAAGACGATTATAAGACGATTATATATTTTTATTTTAAATTTCCAATTATTAAAAAAAGCACACGCATTGTCAAATTTTTTTGTGAATTGACAAAACAAGGAACCCGTTCTGGTCCTCGGTCAAAAGAAAGAACAGAAAGGTAAAGTAAACGAAGGGAAAAAGGAAGTGACATAAGAAAAGTAAACTTGCCGAATATTAGAAAAG